TTTTAACATCCTTATCTGTAAGACGGGTGCTAACCCTGGACAGTCCTTCAAAGAGATTGGCAAGGAAGAGGGTGCCCAACGAAAAGAAATGACCCGAAGCTATATGTATGGCTAGATCAAGGTGAGAAGGAAGGACACATTTCGAAGTGGAAATTATGACATAGTTACAGAGTCAAAAGAGCAGGAAGGCTGTATGCTCCCGATCGGTCACAAGGGTCCCGTCTGCTCCTTGCTGGTCGTTTAAAAATTTGGTCCAGCCCCATTCCTTAACGCCAGCCGGCGACCAGCCCAAATGGTCTGCATTGGACTCTTGCCCATCTAGGGCACCCATTACAGGGTCTTCTCCCACAATTGGCAGATGTGCGATCATGGCCACATCCATGAGTGTAGGGCTGATGGGGGCTGTTGGTAGAAAGAAGGCGCAAATCTCAAGGTGCCAGAACGCTGCCATCGCTAAAAGAACCTTCTCTTGTAAATGACATGGGAGTGTAGACAGAAATATGGCTTGGTCGATTTGTTGATTTTTCCATTGATCCTGGAAGTGTTCTGCTACCCTTTTGTACCAGGTGCGGTAGGGATCTTTGGGGTCCTTCATATGAGTTTTGATGCTATCATAGAGGCGGATAGCATTGTAGTTAGGATTGTTGATAGCTAGTAAATTTCCCGCCTCCAGGACCTCTCTCATTCGATTGGAGTCTTCAGGGGTAGTGAAGTATGGGCGAATGGTTGGAGTGAGCATTTTCATCACCACAAAAGTTGTTTCGGGGACTGTCCCGTCCAAGGGAAGTGCAGGTATGTATTGATTCGCCATTATTCTGGATTTGCAAAGATTGAGAAACGATGAAGGCTGATGGTGAGGATGCAGAGTTTGGTGGCACAGAATGTGTCGCAGTAACTGATCGCAGTTGCAGAGGCAGTTCCGCAAAAGAGGTGGTTGTATATATATTTCGAACTTCCAAACGGCGATTGAGGAATGACGTTTGAAAGTTCGATGGCGGCGGGCAAGTTTTTATGTAAGAAATTTATAAGTAGGTTAAAAAGCCCAAGTTAGAAGAAAAAATGGGCCTATAATTGGAGTTGTTGGACTGATCAAGGGGTGTTTCGAGAAAATCGGGTGAAATAAACTTATTTTCAAGGAAATAGCGGGTCGGAAGGTCCGCAGGTCGGAAGGTCCGTGGGGCGGAAGGTCCACAGGTCGGGTGGTCCATAAAGCGGAAAGTCTGCGAGTCGGACGGTTTAAAAGTCGGATGGTCTGCAGGTCGGTTGGTCAGTGGATCGGACGATGTGCAAGTCGGAAGGTCTGTTGTCGGGCCAACAAGTCAGGTGGTCTGTAAGTCGGGAGGTTTGCGGCTAGACCAACAATTCGGGTGATCTGCAAGTCGGGAGGTTTGCGGCTGGACCAATAAGCAGAAGGTTTGCGGCTGGACCAATAAGCAGAAGGTTTGCGGTCGGACCAACAAGGCGGAAGGTCTGCGATCGGTCCAAAAAGTCGGAAGATTCGCGGTTGGATAGGCAAATCGGTTGGTGTGGAGGTCGGATACTGCTGGGAGCGAGTGAGAATGATAGTTTGGTTGGCTGAGGGCACGTGTCAGCAGAAGAAGAGTTAGCAGACGGTTGAAATAAGAGACGTTGTAACTGTTCGGGCGAATGTTCCAAGTACCGTTTCTGAGGAATATTTAAGGGTTGGGATCTATAACTGACAAGGCATCTTCAATCATCTTCAAACGACATCAGAATCAGTGATTCGGGGTTCATCATTAAAATTTCCAGTATTTTACTTTCCAGTTATTTTTTTGTACCGTACAGTGTTTAGAGATTCCTAATCTCAGATGCTAATTATATCAAATTCAAAGATAATTTCCTATTTTCGGATTTTACTTTTTATTTATTGAAAAAATACATCAACACCCCCAAAATTTCTAACATGATTAATTACATATCATAGTTTCAACTACTTGTGTAGGGAACAAAGATGTAAATGGGCACGGACAAGGAAGCATAAAAGAATCTGCTAATGGAATATTAGTTTCCACCTTTTGTGACACATGGAAATTTACATAGGTGTCTATACAAAACAGGAATACTTACATATTTTACCAGTTTTAAACTTAAAACCAAAAATAGGTAAATACTGACTCAAATAACAACTTAACATAATAATGTTTTTAGGTTTTACGAAATGAAAAAAAAATGTAAAGATAACCAATAATCAGAAAACCATTTTGAAAATGTCAAATTCTATAAACTGCATGTTTGGCATGAATATCGAAAAACCAACCAAAGGGAGACAGACATAAATGTGACAAATCTTAGACTTTGTTCGATGATGAAGGAACTCCAATTATTTTATTGCTATGGTGTTCTGCAATGAAGTATACTGTTGTATATTATATTTTTATCATCAAATTGAAATGCAGTTGATTTGTACAGGCTAATGAAATCGAATGAATAATGAGGAACAAGAAACCCCAATTGTGTAAAGAAGAAATAATTAACACATGAACCAGAAGAAATAGCTTTTAGATTTAGTGCATATATTTTCCTTTATTTTCTACTAAGGAGCTTTTGTGTGAAACCATAGGTCTATATTCAAATCTATGATGAATGACCAGATATTCTCCATTTAGAAAAATCTAAAAACATTAAAGAGGAACGTCAATAGTTCCTCCAATTATAAAATATGGCTATAAAAAATTTTAAATTTTGAGAAATGAGAATAAAGGAGTTTCATATCATTATTGAGATAACTTATTTTATATTCTCAAATAGTTTAGAAGTATTAAACAGTTATCAGAAATAAAGTACGTGCAATTAAGATATACTCCCTCTGTCATTCAATTGTGTGCTCATTTGAGTGGCACAGGTTTTTTAAAAATAGAAACTTTTACTTTTTAGGGTAAAATAATTAGAAAAAGTAGTATTTTTTTTTACTAAAAAAACGAGAATAAATTTAGATGAAATTAAAAAAAATAAGAATAAATTTGAATGACAGAAGGAATATGTATTTATTGATGCATTAATAAATAAAAAATTAGTGTAGGTCGGCCAAAATCTAATACTTAGTAACAAAACTGAGGTAGATAAGAAATTAAAAAAATATATATATAAAGATTGGAATTGAAGTTTAGAAAGATCATTAACAAAAATAAGAACGGAGAAAAGTTTAAAAAAAAAAATTATATTGTGATAAATGATTGAATATAGATTTTAATACACTTTCTAGTTTTTGAAATAGAAAAGTCAATGGACAAAATATCCCTTAGGTCATTTGCGTATTTTGTCTCAGCTACAAGGATTGTTTGACTTTATAGTCTTTCAATTGTCATAAAAATAAAATTTCTAATTCTTTTTGAATAATCCCTAACTTCAAAACTCTTTGGTCTCTTAAAATAGAATAATAGACTCCCAAGACATAGGCGCAATGAAACAAATTCTAAAAAGTATTTCTCTTGAAACAATCACACATTGTCAGAAAACTCCCACGGGAATTCACCTAAATACGACCACAACATCGCCGCAATATCCTCACTAAATGTTTTATAGAAAAATGATTGCAGGACCCCCAGTGAAAGCTTAATAAAATATTCATTGAAAACAACTAGAACATCTACGGAAAACACATGGTTATGGCGGACGCTGCATTCTTTTGCCGGTGGTTTGGCTTCTCCCAGATGCTTACCAATGCGGCCAATTCTATTTGGATTCTTGCTGATGACTCCTATAAACTGGAGCCTATTGCGGAGATCGATCAGTGTCTTCATGTGCAGCTTTCGTCTCCGCAGCACCGCCGGCCTTTTTTTCTCTCTGGAATATATGCGAGATGCTCTGTTACTCAGCGCCGTGATCTCTCCGGAAGTATTCCAGAGAGCCAATCCGTCGTCGGGCAATGCGAATTTCACACGATTACTGAACTAAACTACGATTAACTACGGAAAGCGAGTAAATAAATTGCAGAAAGCATATAATCAGAATTAAATTGCATAAACGAAAATAAAACAAGGAAGAAAAATATGAAAAGATGTGATTTGTTCTGTTGTACGTGTGTGTGTGTTGTGTTTCTTTTTCCTACTCATAATCCTAAACTAGAATAACCACTTCTCCCACTAACAGGGATGGTTACAAATTATTCCCACTTCTTTCTATCTCTCTTAACCACCAAGTAACCTCCTTCCATCAGTTCCCAGCGGCTTCCATTGCCTCTGGACCGAGTTCCATTTTTCTTGAGCATCTTCCATCGTTCATGGACCAAGTTTCATTCGCTCTGGATTTTTTCCATTGCCTCCAGATCAGACCTGCAACCTACCCTAATTCGTTTATCATACTCCTAGCCGGTCTACGGGCATATGTTCCCGACAGCCTTGAGTTACATGGAACCCTCATTCTTCTTCCTTCCATTTTGACCCCTAGGACCTTCCATATAGGACCTATAGGTACCATGGTTTTCCATTGACATTATGAGGTTGCCGATTCAGTGTTGATGAAGTTTGTCGTCTGAAGGTCTATGGAAGTCACATCTTCTTGCTCCATGGAAGCGCCGCAGCCTGATGGAAGTCACTATCTTCGACATTTAAGTCATTTTGGACTTGGGGTCCAACAATTGCCCTCCTAAAAAAGTGATGAAATGTAAGCTACGTGAAGCTTTGCTCTCTTTTTGGGACTTCCTTCGTGTGGGACTTACCCTCTTGGGCCTTGGCACAAAATTATCCCAACTTGATATCTCACGTCAACCCCTTTAACCTTGATGTGATGGCTGCTTCCTTCGATTCCCGCGTCGTCTAAGAGAGAAAAGACATTCAAGGGTTTTTTCATATGGGTTTATCATCACTCCCCTTTTTCACTTCCCTCTCCCCTTGTTTCTTCTCTCGTTTCTCCTTCGAAGGCTTTTCTCTTGTTTGGTGAATGCAAGTATCAAGTTGTATGACTTATTCGACGGCTCTTCCTTCCAGTAGTGTAGCTGAACCTTTGTGGCAGACTGTTGCCGATGTCCAAATGTCTATTGCTCACGTTGTGAGGGATTTGATGTCAGCCTTAGAAGTGGCAGCAGACCATAATGCCTCCGAATTGCCTTTGACTTCAGCAGTCCCCGTCTCCGAGGAAGCAGCATCGATTCCAGAGGGCTCGGCTTTAGCAGGTGTAGCCTCAAGCTCCAGTGGAACGACTTTGTCTTCGGAGGGTCCCATTTCTGCAGGTACAATTCCAATCGTTGATGGAACAGCCCCGACCTCAGACTTTTCAACTCCAGTGGAAGCAGCGCCAGTTCCTGGTGGAACAACTCCAGCTATCGAAAATCCGATTCCGCCCCCGACAGATCCAATCCCCGTGGTAGCGGTTCCGGGGCCTAATGGATTGGCTCCAGATTTGGCAAATTTGATTTCAACTCCAACGGATCCAGTCCCTATGGGAGCGGCGCCAAGCCTCCATGGAACGGCTCCATCGGTGGAAGGTCTGGTTTCAACTACAACATATCCAATTCCCAGGGAAGCAGCGCCAGGTCCCGATGGAACAGCTCCATCTCTGGAAGATCCGCCCCCAGTCCCAGCAGATCCAGCTCCCATGGAAGCAACACCTGGTCCTGATAACTCCGAGCCGCTATAGACCCAGCAGCAAAAGATACTCCTCCTACAGTGTGTTAACTTTAGGAACCATCCGCCTCTCTTCGAGTCACCCGCGGTTTCGTTTGGATTTTATGATATGCTACTCATTTGGCTACTTATGATGACTTATTTTCGTTTTATTTTCTTGTTTGCGCATTAGCGGCTTGATAGCCTGCTTTTATTTTGCATCTTAGCGGCTTACTAGTATGCTTTCGTTTTGTTTTATATCTAGCGGCCTAAACAGGGCCTGCTTTCATTTTGCGCATTACATTTCTCCATCCAAACTCGAATGGCGACATGTATCCCTTAAGGTGCTTAGCATTGATAACGTTTCTATGTTCTATCCCATCAATACTCATCAATCTATAAGCACCGTTAGCCAACACTTTACTCCCTTGGTACGGACCTTCCCACGTAGGAGACCACTTCCCGAATGTATTATCTTTGAATCCTTCGGGCAACACTGCCTTCCATACCAAATCTCATTCTTGGAATGTTTGCCGACGTACCTTTTTCTTGTAAGCTCGCGTCATTTTCACTTTATTTGCCCTGATATTCTCCAGAGCCATCTCATCCGATCCTTGTGTACGTCATCCAATCTTTGTAACATCGTTGTATCGTACTGCTCGGGACTAAGCGAATTCTGCTTCAACACTCGTAGCGATGGCACCGTGATTTCCGACGGCAATATCGCTTCTTGTCCGTAAACCAGTTGGAATGGGGTGCAACCAGTGGCTTTATTTCGATATTGTCTGCAAGCCCATAAAGCCTCCCCTAACACTTCGTGCCATCTTCTCGGGTTATCTTCCACAGCCTTTTAGATTAACCCAATTAAGACTTTGTTGGCTGTTTCAGCCTGCCCATTTGCTTGCGCATAATACGGGGACGAATGCAAAATAGCAATCCCGTACTGTGCGGCGAAGGCGGCCACTCTATCGTTGGTAAAAATAGTGTCTTGATTGGCGGTAATCGTCTGCGGGATTCTATATCGGTGAATAATGTGTTCCTTAACAAACTTGATCACTTCCTAATATGTCACATTGGCCAACGGCACAGCTTCTATCCACTTTGTGAAATAATCCGTGGCCACCAATATGAACGAGTGGCGTCTGGAAGATGGCGGATGGATTTTCCCGATGATATCCATCGCCCATCCCCGGAATGGCCATGGCTTCACCACTGCGTGCATTTCTTCTGCCGGATTCGGATCAAAGAACCATGTCGCTGACACGCTTCACATCCTTGAGCGTACTTGATGCAGTCTTCTGTCATTGATGGCCAAAAGTACCCATATCGTCGGATCGTCCATCTCATGACTGGCCCAGATTTGTATGCTCCAAAAACTCCTTCATGCACCTCACCCATCACCTTCATGGCTTCTTGAGTATCTACGTATCTCATTAACATTCCATCGGCGGCTCTGCGGAAAAATCTCCGTCAATCAGAGTATACTTCAGAGCCTCTTTCTGCAGCTTTTCCGGAGTTTCACCGGTTGGTTGTTCCAAATATTTCCTTAGTTCCATACGCCAATCCTCCGCTTCCACTGGACACGGACATACTCGATCAGTTTTCATACGATCAGTTGCTTGGTCAGCCACCAGGCTCTGATGATCTGCTAGAAAGTTAGCAACGATTTGTCCCTTAACAGCTTTGATTGGTACATATCGTAGATCAAAAGTGGCTAGCTTTACAGCCCATTTCGCTTGCCTTCCCCTTAAAGCTGGCCTGCTTAATAGATATCTCAAAATATCGACGTAACACGCCACTTCCGTTTCCCTCGGGGCTAAATAATATTCAAGTTTCACTGAAGTGTAAAATAATGCGAGATATAATTTTTCCAAAGGAGTGTATCTTGTCTCTGCATCATTCATTACCTTACTGAGGTAAAAAATGGCACGTTCGCTTATATCGGGAGCCTCCTGCGCCAGTAAGCAACCAACCGTATTCTCAGTGGCTGAAACATACAAGTGCAGAGGTTTTCCCTCATGAGGTGGCATCAACACCGGTGGATTGGCCATAGCTTCCTTAATAGCTTTGAAAGCATGCTGGTGTAGCGGCTCCCACAAAAACTCTTTTGTTTTTCGCAATCTGAGCAGTGTGGACAAGGCTTTAAGATTGCCTGCAGCGTTCGAGACAAACCTTCGCAGGAAGTTGACCTTGCTTTAAGCTTGCTTTAAGCTTCCTTGAAGTTGTTTCAGATTCTCAGGTGGTCAGGCGTTGATGATAGCTTTCGTTTTATTACTATCCACCTCAATACCCTTATTATGCACCAAGAAATCTAGAAAGTTTCCGGAGGCCACTCCGAATGCGCACTTCGCTCATCTTTAAATTATAGTGCCTCATTCTCCAAAAAGCTTGCTTGAGATCCACCAGATGTTCCGAAAAACTCTTGGATTTTACCACTATGTCGTCGATGTAAACTTCCACCGACTGTCCAATAAAATCGTGGAATATGGTGTTCATCGCTCGCTGGTAAGTCGCTCCAGCATTTTTCAACCCAAACGGCATCACCACCCACTCATATACCCCAAGGGCTCCTGGGCATCGAAATGCCATTTTTGCAACATCCTCCTCAGCTATGAAAATCTAGTTATAGCCGGAATACCCATCCATAACTGACAGGCTCCCGTTCATGGCGGCTGCATCTACTAACATGTCGGCAACAGGCATGACGTATTCGTCCTTGGGTGTTGCCAAATTCAGATTGCGATAATCGATGCATACCCGTAATTTGCCATTTTTCTTGAGTACGGGGACGAATTGGCCACCCATTCCGGGTATCGACAAGTCCGAATGAATCCTGCTCCCAACAGCCGTTGGATTTCTTCCTTGATGTTCGAATACACATTTGGATTAAACCTTTGTGGCGGCTGCTTGTGGGGTTTGTATCCGGCTTTTATGGGTAGCCGATGTTCCACAAGTTCTCAAGCCAAACCTGGCATTTCGTCGTAATCCCAAGCGAAACAATCCCGGTATTCCTTTATAAGTGTCACCAAGGCAGCTCGATCTTTTGATGTTAACAGCGCACTAACTTTGGTGATTCGCGGAACTTCGTCGACACTGAGGTCAACATCTTCCAGCGGATCTTGGGCCTGGAACGCTGGATAGGTTTTATGCACGGGCGACGGTAACTCTACTTCAGCGCCAATTTCCTTGTATGGTTCCCGGTCGCTGCTGAACTTTCATCTAAGCTGCTCCATTTCTTCCACGGATTCTGCTATGGCCAGCCCTAGATGTTGCGTAACAAAGCCTATTTCAGGCGGCCCAGGGTTTTTCAAGGGGCCAGCTCTAAACGGTTCTGAACTCGCCACAGAGCCTGTTTCGAACCGCTCACCACCTTCTATGGAACCTGCTCTGAACGGCCCTGTATTCGTAACAGAGCCTGCTCCGTGCGGCTCAAATTGAATTTCTACGCATTCGAAATTCATCATAGTCTTCTTCATTCGTAGGCCGTGGATCGGCCCTCGCTTGAATTCTGAATTGATTATCACTAAACACACATTCATAATTTCCCTTGTTAGGCATGGAGGCGATTACTTCGGACAACGGGATCATCTTCAAATAGTAGAAAGTTGCATCTACAGCTGTGACTTCCGCTGCGAATGGGTCTTTCTCCGCCTCCACTTCTTGAACCTCATCGCCATCTCAGAATAGCAACTTCTGGTGCAAAGTCGACGGTACACACTCGCAAGCGTGAATCCAGTCTCGCCCCAATAATGCTGCATACGAAGGGCGACTGTCTATTATTACGAATGCTGAGGGCAACTTCTTGGTGCCTACTTGTACCTCAACAGTAGCGATACCCGCTGGTTTATACGAATTTCCCATAAAATCCGTAGCTCGCACCGAAATTGGTATTAAATCATCCCTTGTTTTTCCTAACTTTCTGAATGTCCGAAACGGAATTACGTTGGCGAATGCGCCACCGTCTATCAGTACTCTGCCCACTGGTCGTCCCTCCATTAAAGCTCGAATGTACAGGGGATTTACGTGTTTATTCTGCCCGGATCCAATCTGATCAAACGTGACTGTTGTCACTACATCGTTCCATTCTGTCGATGGTTCTTCATCTACGGTAACTCCCTCATAATTTTGCTCCCCTTCTGGAGCTTTGAATTCAGATGGCAATACCCCCACAACCGATAGATGACCACCTTCAGCATTACACTCATTCGATTGTGTAGTTTTCGGTACCCATCGGCGTTGCCAGTTTGGAATGGGTCCGGCGCTTAGAGTAGAGAAAATCAGGCGAGGTTGCAACGCTTGATTTTTCTGAGGTCTTTCCTTCTGCTCACGAGCTTTCGAGGTTTCTTCATCCTGACTTGCTGCTTGCTGAATTTCTGATTCGATTTTCTTGTCCTTAGCCCCTGCACCCCTCTGATTTGGCTGAACACCTTTAGCTTCCAATTTAGCCTGTAGTCACTTCCTTTGTGCCCTTCTTTTCTTGGAACGTGTAAGGTCGCCCATTGCCATCCTGGCATTTGTCTCCGGCACATTAACTATCCACTTCTCCAAATCTGCGGCTGATGGAGGCTTTCATTTTGTTCTTGGAGTAATTGTAATCTGATCAGCGGACGTAATGGTCCAAACTCGTTTCCCGCTAGCAACTTTCACCTCAGCTACCGTGGTATCCGGCTTAATAGTTGAGCCTGGAGCTGTGGCTTTAATCGTCATATTATGACGCTCCCGAACTTCCCGGGCATTTGGAATCGTCACTTTCGAGTTAGGATTCCTTTCTACGACCCTAGGTTCCTTACTTCCGACATTTCCATTAGGTGTCTTTCTCACAGGCAGCCTATCGAATACCGAACCCCGTTGTGGAATCCTAGGCCCGAGTCGCTCAAGAACCGGTTGCCGAACTGGTTGTTTTCCTTCTTTCTGTTTCTTAAGACCTCTTGTAGACATGGTATTAATGGATGGTGCAGGGAATGGATTTGCATCCACCTGCATACTCTTTTCAG